GAGGCGCCTGGCCCAGCGGCTCTTCGGCCAGTCCACGGACCTGATGGACTACGACAACGTGAGTCTCACGGGATACCGCGTCCAGCCTGGGAAAGGCCACCTAGCCCTTCCGGGTGAGAGCGTGTGTGCCCACTGTGTGCCTACATGTGTGTGTGTCATGTGTGCGTATGGGTGTAGGCGGATTGTGCACATGTGTGTTAACACATGTGCCTGTGTATGGATGCGGGGTGCATGTATGAGGGAGGTCTTCAAAAAGTTCACAGAGGGAACCAGCAGTTAGCGTAATGGCTATGTCGCTGGACTCCCATGTAGTCGACTGCGGTTCAAGTCCCAGACCTGGTGGCTTAAACTCACGCCGGGCTCGTGTGCGTGCGTGCCCAAGATCCCGAGAGGAGAATGGAGGAGAAGGGATTGCGGCGTGGCCATCCCCCCTGGGGGGTGATTTCTCGCTCTCTGTCTCTGTCTCTCTCTGTCTGTCTGGCGAGTGCACGCGCCCTATAGCAAAAACCTCTCAAAAAAAAAAAAATAGTTCTGGTGTTATTAAACATTGCACATGGATTTCAAAAAATGTTTAAACATATTTATTTTATCGAATGGCATCTGTTCTGTTTTGAGATGAATCAGTCAACTTGATTATTTTATTTTCTTTTGTAAGTTTTTTGCCGTTGAGTGCGTGCGCTCACCGGAGACAGACGGAGAGAGGGAAAGTGAGAAATCACCCTCCAGGGGGGATGGCCATGTCACAGCCCCTTCTTCTCCTGAGATTTTGGGCATGCATGCGCACACGCCTGACTTGATTTTCTTTCTTTCTTTCTTTTTTTCTTTTTTGAGAGAGATTTTTGCTGCAGGGCATGTGCACTCACCAGAGAGACAGAAAGTGAGAAATCACCCCCCAGGGGGAATGGCCACGCCACAATCCCTTCTCATCGTCTTCTTGGGATTTGGGGCACGTGTGCAAATGCACCGTGAGTTTTTTTTTTTTAAGCTGCCCCGTCTGGGACTCAAACCGCATTGGGAGTCCAGCATTGTCACCACTACGCCATCTGCTGGCCCCCACACCTGGCGTGATTTTCAAGCCACCAGATCCAGAGCTCGAACTGGGGTCAGCCAGGTGCGACTCCAGCATCTAACCGCCACACCACCTACTGGCTGAGAATTTTTGTACCAAAATAAACCCATACTTGGGAACCAGCAGTTAGCGTAATGGCTATGTCACTGAACTCCCACGTAGTCGACCGCGGTTCGCGTCC